CCCCCCCCGACGTGCCAAGTGGCATGCAAGCATGCTGCATCAAGATTAAGATTTCCGCCTGTGAGTGCCCGCAAGTAACCACGGGGTATTCTGGGGATAACTGGCAGATCAACCCACAAGAAACAAGCGAAGTAAAAATGTCACAAAACAAAACTGTCCTGCAGAAGGGGAGCTCCTAAGCCAAAGTTCTACCCTTCGAAGTCCCTTCCGCGGATGCAGCTCCGCTCAGGATGGGCCGGCGAGGATCCAGCCAAAGGCAGGAAGGGGTGATCAGGGGAAGGGAGGAAAGTCCACTCACCAGAGGAAACCGACGAGCCCGACAGGCTGGAGTTGCTGGACGTGGCCATCCTCCTTCCTTCGGGTTCCTTAGTGACCAGCCCGGGCGCTGCCGCCGCCGCTGCTGCTGTCCGGCTGCCGCCCGCCCCCCATGGCCAAGTGCGGGAGCCGCGCCGAGCAAAGCAGCAGCACCACCAGCCGCCGCCGCCTCCTCCGCCCGGGCTCCGCTGGCTGGCGAGCCAAAGAACCCGCTCGTGCGGCCGGCCGGCCGGCGCCCCGTTCCGCCTTCGCGGGGGAGAGCAGCAGGCGCCCTGGCTGTCCAGAGCAGGAGCCCGCGCCGCTGCTGCTTCCAGCGCCTCGCCCTCGCGCCGGAGGAAGGGAGCCGAGCCGCCCCGCCAGCTCCTGCCCGCCCGCCCGCCTGCCTGCCCGCCTGCCTCCGCCGCCGCCCGCAGCGCTTCTCCTCCGCTCCCTTCACCGCCTCCGCGGCTCAGGCTTGACAAGGCAGCGGCTCCACCTCCTCCGCCGCCACCGCCTCGGTGCCCCTCGCGCACACAAAGGAAGCCGAGCGGGAGGAGGAGGAGAAGGAGAGCAGCAGCGCCGCTTGGCGCGCCTGACTACGGAGCCGGCGGCAGCCCCGGGCGGGGAAGGGAGGCGGGCGACTGGCCCCAGCCTGCCCCTGTGCGGCCGCTGCTCCCTCGGCTGGCTGGCTGGCATCGGGCGGCGGGCACAGCGAGCGCCGCTCCGGCCATGTGCCGAGGCTGGTCCAGCATGGGGAAGCCGCCTCGGCTGGTCGCGCCGCCTCCCACAGGCGGGAAGGGGGGGGGAGGGCCCGCCAGGCGTTTCCCGCGCGGCTGCCTGAGGAGCTTTGCCGGGGCCTGTGGAACTTCTCGCGTCGCCTTGGGGCTGCCAGCTCCAGGCTGGGAAATACCTGGGGGTTTGGGGGGGGTGGAGCCTGAGGACGGTGGGGTTTGGGGAGGGGAGGGACCTCAGTGGAGTATATAGTGCCATAGAGTCCACTTTCCAAAGCTGGCATTTTCTCCTGGAGAACTTAACCCTGTTGCCTTGGGATCAGTTGTAATCCCAAGAAATCTCCAGCCACCACCTGGAGGTTGGCAACCAAAGCTTGCCTGGGAGGGGGACGCTGAGGCTTGCACTCATTCATGTGCCCGGCATTTTCCTCTGGTTTGTAACACCTATCAGTAGCCACTGTGGTTAGGTTACCACAGGTGTAACACCTGGGAATAGAGGAAAGAGGACAGATGTGTGTAGAGTGCGTGTGTGGGGGGGTGATGTGTCAAGCTAGGTAGTCAAGGTATGTTGAGAAGAATACATTGATGGGGGCTGAACTGATCATGACTGAAAAATGCCAGGACACCACCACTGAAAAAGGCAAACTCTTTGCTAGGGATTGTTAGTCAATGGCCTGAAAAGAAATCTGTTGTATCGTAATGCTTAGCACCAGGCCACGGGTCCTGCCGGACCTCACCGGAGCACCGCTCCGCCAGTCAGGAGCCCAGGGGGCGGGCACATAAGCCCCGCCCCCTGCTCCCACCAGCCATCAGTTGGGACATGGTGGGGGGGCGGAACGTTCCCCACCTCCCTGAGCCCCAGGGTGGTGGCCTTGGACTCGTAGGGGCAAATTCCACCTCACGCGAGAGGTCATTCTAGCTCCCGCAGCTCTCGGGAGGGGCTCCTTTAAAAGTTATGGCCACCGGCGATCTTCTCGCGGCAGCTCCGACGCCAACGGATGCGGGGGCGGGCGGGGCAAAATGTTCTTTCGCCTCTGTGAGCCCCGGGGTGGTGGCCTTGGACTCCTACGGGCAAATTCGACCTCACACGAGAGGTCATTCTGGCTCCCCCAGCTCTCGGGAGGGGCTCTTTAAAAAGTTATGGCCGCCGGCGCTGTTCTCGCAGCAGCTGTGACGCCTGCGCGGGGGGGGCAAAATGTTCCTTTGCCTCCTTGAGCCTCGGGGTGGTGGCCTTGGACTCGCAGGGGCAAATTCCACCTCTCACGTGTGATGGACATCACACACAAGAGGTCATTCTGGCTCCCCCAGCTCTCGGGAGGGGCTCTTTAAAAAGTTATGGCCACCGTCGCTGTTCTTGCGGCAGCTGCGACGCGTGCGGGTGGGGGCGTG